TGGATTGTTGGAGAAAGGCCTGGCCGGGGGCTTCTAGCCCACCCTGGACCCGGGCAGGCCTATGTGATCAGCTCCAATGCACCTCCTGAGAATTTGAAAAGTTTCATTCCCTTATGGTGAGAGTGTACGTTGGGACTCGGCCATTTCATGTGAAATAATTTTGATGTGAACCCTGGGTATTTTGCACCAATTGTGTAACACACTGTAATTGCTATGTGTGAGTTTCTCTAGACCTTGCTGAGGGCGTCTTCACACTTGGGGAGGATTAGTAGGTGGAATAATTGGGGAAAGCCAAGCTGGAAGAGATACAAGGATCACATAGAACACCATCTCTTTTTACCAGTGGAGAAACTAAGAGACCAGAGGGCTGGGAAGCTGTGCAGAGCCCCTCAGTGAGGCTAGGGGCAGAGGCAGAACATGGAGGGAGTCCAAGTGGCAGAGAGGCAGGCTGGCCATGGTCAGAAGGCTCGGTGTCCTGATGGACTCACACTCCTCCTCCTGGGACCTTTGCCGTAGTGAGTGAGGGGAGGGTGCCCGTGCAAACTGGCTGGCAGCGGCACTGTGCCATTCTCTGTGGATGCTCCAAGAAGAACACAACATTCCCATTATATGGTTCAGAAATTAGGGTTGAAAAATGGGATGGACTCCAAGTGTCAAAGTTGCCAGCTGTGTGAAGAACTGTGGTTATGTACTGGGCACCACTGAAGCACGCCGTATGCTGCTCCTCGGGTGACGCTGACTCCTCCCTGTACGGTGCAGACAGGTTTTCATGTAGACACTTTCACTGTAAGCATGAGGTGTGATCGAGACGTATGGGGAATGTCTGAGTTTAGAAAGCGGATTACAGTAAAAGATGTTGCCGCCAGTCCCCGAGTCCTCCCCGAGCTGTGCTGTCATGGCCGCCTCAGCTGCCTCAGTGTCCTGAATCAACTGCAAATGCTGACCTTTCCTGATCATTTCGACTTTGGGGAGAGCCAGAGGTCACACGGTGCCAGATCTAGTCAAGAAGGTGGTTGTGGATGCACTGTGAGGTTTTCACAAGAATGATTTTCTGCCGGGTGGCATTGGGCAGTGGAATGCATGGGAGCTTTGGCTACACCTTGTGAAGATACTCATGGAAAGGATTTTCCAGAACTGCTGCAGAAAGTGCCAAGAAGGGTGGGTAAGTATGTCTGAAGGGAGAGGGAACAGTTTTGAGGGGGATTAGTAGTAATTTATCTTTCACTGTAGTACATTATTTTAGTTAAACACTCACCGCATATTTCCATCATCCCTATAGGATTGGTCTTGATCCTCTGAATCCCCTGCAGGGGAGGCAAGAAAAGCACTATTATTTCCATACTGTATCTGGGTGAATAAGCCCAGAAATGTTGAGTATTTTGCCTCAGAGTACACCGGCACAGTGGCTGGTGGAGAGCTGCCCCAGGAGCCTGGTTTGTGGCGGTTGCAGGGTGGAGGCCAGCCATCTGCTGTCACAGTGTCCAAGGCCCTGGGAGCCCAGTGTTCTGTGTCCGCGCACCAGTGGGCCTTTCCCAGGAGGTGGAGTCACGCAGCTCCCTGAGACAGCTCAGCCTGGGAGCACCCCCAGAAACCGTGAGGTGGGTGCCCTGCACTTCACTCTTGCCCTGGACACAAGGAGCAAGGGGTTGAGTTTGAACTTTATCACCTCAGCCTTACTTTTACACTCGGCACATATGTAAAACTTCCATCATGAGTTGCACAGTCTTGGGATTGAGACTGATGATTTTGTGAGCAAGCTGGAGTTTGGAGTAGGTTTAGCTTCTCCGAGCACAGCAGGAGCCTTTCATCAAATTCAGCGGCAGGAAACCCTTTCACTGCACCACACTGCTACTGAAAATGTCATTCATCCATCAGCAGCTGCTTCTTGAGACAGCAGTGTAGGAATTCTTGAGACCATCTAAGTGACAGGTCAGGAAAGCAGTGTGGTGGGGGGAAAGATGGGCTTCAGAGATAGAAATAAAACTGAAGACTGGCACTATTATTCACAAGCTACTTAAGCTTGGCCGAGTGTCTGACTTTACTGAGCTGCTGTGAATCTATCTGCAAAATAGGAAAGGTCAACTCATTATGCTTCTGAAGAAGCACTAATTTCTTACAAATCTCCTATCCCATGTCTAACATTGAAAACATAATAAAGTAAAAATACCACTGGTAGTTGCCAGTTAATCATGAAGTGTTTGGCGTCGTATACAGCAATGGGAGAGACAGGGAAGAGGGGAGTTGTGGCTCTTCTTCTCCTTACCCTCTGAAGACGCAGGGGAGGAAAGGTGGTTGGGAGTTTCTGGGCCTCACAGCAGCTTTGCAGGGCAGACAAGGAAGGATGGAGATCATGGCTCGGCGGGCGTGTTCCTGCCGTAATTAGGGAGATAGAAGCCCGGCTGGGAGGATGGAGGGGCAATGGCTGGAGTGTGTGTTTGACAGCAGGGAGGCCACCCTGGACAGACTGGAGGAGAAATGAAGGAGAATAACAATAAATCACACTCAGAAGTGAGACAGGAAGAAGGGTATTCTATTCACAGCTGGGTCAGTAAATCTGGATTCACCCCCGCTCCAGGGCAGTGCGGTGCAAGGTTTGGTGCGCTAAATCCTGGCCCTGTCCTGTTTCTTTTCGGACCTGAAAATACATATGTAATTGTCAATGAATGAGAGCACATGCGTGTGCAGCCTACATACACAGCTACATACATAAGGTGAAATACATAGGTAGTATACCTAATAAATGAAAATGCATTCATAAAAATCCACATATATCCTTTTTGTCAATTTCATTGCAGTGTGATTTTTATACAACAAAATGCACTGATTTTAAGTTTAGTGTTTGTTGAGTTTTAATAATAGACATATTGTTATCTAGTGTAATTTTAAAATATAAAAGTGGGAACATACTATTTCAGGTTGAGCATCTGTAATCTAAATATCTAAATTTAGAAATGCTCCAAATATCCAAATGTTGAATGTCAGCATGATAACACAAGTGGAAAATTCACCTGCCCCCAAATTACAAAAGGTATTTTATAAAATTACTTTCAGGCTATGCATATAAGACATATTAAATATTAATAAATTTAGGGTTTAGACTTAGATCCCAACTTCAAGATAACTCATTATATATGCAAATATTCTTGAATTTGAAAAAAAGTAAAATCTAAAACACTTCTGCCCTCAATCATTTTGGGTAAGGGGTAGTCAATCTGCCCTGTCGTGTTAGTTGGTTCGGCATTCAGTAATATATCATAGACACTCTTTTATGGTATTGATATTTTCCAAACTATTGCTTAATTCCTGAGTCTGAAAACCACTGTTATTTATCTATTTCATTATGAATAGATATTTAGATTCCTTTTATTGCTCACAATTAAAATGGAGCAATAAAGATCCTTCTATGTTTATCTTTGATACTTGAACAAGTATTTCTATAGACTGGATTCCTAGACGTAAAATCGATTAGTCAAAGCCTTTGAAACTGAAAAGTAACAGGTGATAAAAAAAAACTTTCAAAGACATTATAACAATTCAATTCCGTAGTATTAGAAAACATGCCTTTCCCAATATTTGTTTTTCAGTTTTGGGTATTATTAAATATTGAAAGCTTTGTCAATCTGGTAGGTGGAAATGATACTATGCTTCTGATTTAATGTGCATTTTTCAAATAATTAAAGAAAATGAGTGTTTATTTAGGTTTGTTGCTCCTTTTCATTTCCTCCATGGATGGCCTATTCTAACATTTTGTGTCTTTTTCATTTCTCTTCTTATTGCTTTGCTGGAACTCTTTTTTTTTTTTTTTGGTACCGGGGATTGAACTCGGGTCCTTGTGCTTGCATAGGAGGCGGCAAAACCACTGAGCTAAATCCCCGGCTCCCTGGAACTCTTTTGTAGGAGTTATTTTTCCACATCAGGCATTCACGTCTTGTCTTAAGGGCACTCTAGAGCCGTACTGCTCACATTTCTAGGCGATGCGATTAAACTATATGGTGAATGTTTCAAAAACAGCTCATTGCAGTAAAAGACACATTGCTATTAATCCCATGCCCACTCCCTCTCCCACTCCAAATGCTCACCCACCCTTCTTGCCAATTTCTGGAGCGGTCGGGGGTGCTCTTCCGGGTGTCTCTCTAAGCTGTGGTCCGAGGGCTGTGGTCTTGGACACACACGACATGGTGCCCCAGCCGCCTCGGTCACGGAATCTGGCATGGTGTGGCTTCTGGCTCTTCCCCAAAGTGCAAATGATCAGAAAAGATAAATGTGTGGAGTTGATTCAGGACATTGAGGCAGCCATGAAAGTATGACTCCTGGTTCAGACATTGGCAAGAGCAATGGGTGAGAAGTGTGTTCAAAGTGGGGGAGTGTTTGGAGGAGGATTAGTGGCAGTGTGTCTTTTACTGTGGTGAATTTACATTAAACAACATTTAAATATTCACCATATCTCGGATCGGACTGCTATTCCTAGGGATGCTGATGGGTAGAGAATCCGCTCCAGTAGGTCGGAGAATGGGCCTGAGAATCTGCATTTCTAACAGACTCCCTGGCACACCAGGTGCTACAGGTCTACTCAGGTACAGAATGACAAAGTCTTAGGCTGTGGGACTGCAGTCCTCCAGTCCAGGTGGATTCCAGTATGCTCACAGGTACAGTGGGAGCTTTCTTTTTTATCATATAGAAGCCCTGAGAGTGATCAGATAAAATGGTCTCTGTGAACAACAAAGCAGCTGTAGTTATGGTCCCAACTGGAGTCAGTTTCTGGGGAGCTGACTGGGGCCCCTGTGGTGGAGTGTGGCCTTCCAGCCTGGAAATCAGGGTCTGCCTCTAGGCACCTTACCTTGAGTTTGTTGGATTTCACCTTTCGACATCCGTGTGTGTGTGTGTGTGTGTGTGTGTGTGTGCACGCACGCTTAAACCCAGTTTTGATTCTCATACAGAGTAATATTTGGAGATCTGAAGAGAATTATCGATGGACTTTATGAACTATTAACAGTGAACATGGTAACTTGCCCTGTTGTGCAAAGCCTTTGGGAGTGTGAAGGACACAAGGATGTTTAATACGGACATGGACATGCAGTCGGCACCGCGAAGGAAGGCTGAGTGCTCAGCAAGCTTTTGTGTCACCTCAGATTCTGCCTCAGAGTCTGGACTGCCTTCAGCATGTCTGAATCCCTTCTACTCGATTGTTAACGGCAGGGGCTGTGTCAGAGGCTGTCCTCTCAGGTTATCCGGACTGCTAAGTGTCAGGTGTTGGACTCTGCGTGATTCAGAAGCCAGAGCATTGTGGTCAAGTTATCTGGCCAGCACACACACACACAGACACACACACACCCCATATATACACAAATACCCACACCCAGAGCCAGCGTGTGATGACTAACTTGTCATGGTAATTATAACGCAAGTAGAATTTAGAAAGTGGATTATTCCAGCTGGCTGTCACGACACAGTGGCAAGTCTCCCACTAACTGTGGCTCTTCTTCATCCAGGGCACACAACCTGCACTGTAATCGGCTGATTAAGCCCTAACCAGTAGGCTGTGAGGGGAAGTTGTACGTGTTGCTGGGCTGAGGCTTCTAAGCAGTGTCGCCCTCTGGGTCTGCAGGCGGAACACAGAAGACTGGAGCCAGGGGCGCATAGGAGAAGCTCGGGGGTTCTGAGACCTGGGTGGCCTGTGCACCAACCTCACTACCTTTTGGACTTCAAGGGTGCAAGGTATTTATGCACATGTGTTTGACACATTGTATATTCCAGGGCGTGTTCATTTCAGTAGTTAGGGTCTCCTCAAGGCTGTGCACTCTGCGTAGATCAGTGGAAAGCGTCCTAACTGACAGCTAGCAGAGCTATTGGAGTCCCCTGAATAATCTATTGAATGCCTACGCAGGATAGATAAACAAAAGAGGAAAAGTGAGCAAGATGAATAGGATACCCTTATGAGAAATGGTTGGTGAGTTTCAGTTTGAGAAAGAGAGCATTTAACATTTGGAAAACTTCTAGTTGTCCTTAATATCAAAGCTGCATCAAGCTTTTCTTAATAATTATCATGAATCTTAAAAATCATGTAGTGAGAAACCGTTAAAAATGCTTCACGTGACCTCTCCCCATCCCACTCCCTTTAATTCGTTCCTTTCTACTCAGGCCTGGAACAAGATGCTATTCTTTGGAGAGTGAAAACTGTGAGAAAGTCAGGTAATGTTTCTGTTTGATGTTTTTGGCAGCGCTGATGAAAATTCTAGACTGAAATGATACTGTATGAAGTCTGGACCAACTGCCATGTTCAAGTGGAATGGATTTCCTCTCTTTTCGCTGTCTGGATCAATTTTTGGAGGCGTTAGGGAGCTTGGGCTCTCGGTTGAAGAAACACATTGTACTGATAACATGTGAAAGTACAGTCTGATTGGACTTGCCAGGCTTTCCAACTTACCGCTAATGTGAGCATTAAGAGGGCTTTTGCAAAATAAATAGAGCTTGCTGAGGTTAGTTAAGAAAGGTTCCAGATTCCATTCAGCAAAAGTGGAATGTTTAATACTTTACTATAAAAAATAAAATAAAAATAAAAAACCTCCTTGGAATTCTGAGTCCCACCTGTTAAATTATTTGTCCTTCTCATAGAAGCAGGAACGAAAGGCGTATGTTCAACATCATTTTGGACCCATTTTCTGTGGCGGGAAACCAAGGTAAACACATTTCTTCTGATGTAATTGTTGATACTAGTTCAGTTCATGTGATGCAGGCGTAGCTGTGTGAACCATTTCGTTTGGACCTGTTCTCAGCTGGAGTTGGACATGATAGTGGGAAAGCCAAAAACCTACAAAAGCCAGTGGCCAGGAGGCCCCAGTTCTTTTAGGGGAGTCCCTGGTCCTGTTGTTTCTGTGTAAGGATGCCCTTTGGGATGCTGTCCATGGCTCTCATTTCTTCCCACTTGTTTGGAAGCATACATCTCATTTCTGTACTTGGGTTCATTCTGATTTTTTAATTTGTTCCATACCAGAACACTGTCATTCTCCTTCTCTAATTCTACTTAGAGACACATATGGGATTGTTTATAAGTACTAGAGGTGTTTTTCCTTTTAATTTTCCTTTTTGTGTTTGACTCTCTGTTCCTCTCTCTTGTCCTCTACTGCCAGCTCTTTGTTCCCCTTTAATAAGTTAAAATCCTACGATGTTTCCTTTCCTAATTTTCTTCATGTTTGCATATTCATATATGAAAACTTATGCTTGGATACATTTTCACTTGTTTTGTGTGTTATTTGTAATTCTTTCTCTCTGCTTCTAGTTTAACAATAGTTTTCTGGGTAGCATAGGGGTTTTGTTCTCAAGATAACCTCCCCAAACACGTTTAGGCAGGATATGGTTTATTCCTTTATTTGTTTATCCCTCAAAGATTTTTTGGACAAGCCAGTGCCCAAATGGCGAAGGCATTCTGGTTACAAGGAGGAACTTGGGCATAGATCCTGATCTCAGGGAGCTCCAGATGTGTACACTTAGTGCTGCAAGAAAGGGCTAGGGTTCATGGGAGCCTGGAACAGTGGCATCAGGCCAGCCAGAAGGGCTCAGAGCCTCGAATGCCCCTGGGCTTCTGGCTGCTCATGGACAATGTGCTCCAAGTCCCAGCTTCAGGCTCAGGGTGGGCTGGGGATCTGGATGAGCAGGAGGAGCAGGGGCAGGAGGAACGGAAGCCTCCTGCAGGGGTGGGGCAGTACTGTGGGCTGCTGACCACCAGGAGCCTTGATAACTGTGTGGCGAAGGGGGTGAGATGGACAGTGGCTGTGCAACATGAGTTGCTCCTCACTGCAGCATCTGTGGGTCAGGCACCGCCATGAGGACGTGTGGCCTGCCTTGCTGGTATGGTCACTTACCATGTGTGCCCTGACCATCCAGTCAGAGTGTAGCCAGACTGCCTGGTAGGCAGGCACTTGTGCTTCTTGTGTCTTCTCTTCCTGAGGCAATCAATGTAGTGTTGGTCGCAGACGCATTAATTGAAAGGCATGCTACTGATTGGAGGAATGAGGATAAGATTTTGAATGAACCCTTATACATAAAGCTACATCTCCTTTGAACTTTTTCATATGTTTGAAAATCCTGGCTTCTAATTACAGACATGTCTATGCATCACTAATAACGCAGGAAACATTTTCCAGTACTTGTGCTAGATCATTGTTGTTAGTATTATTGTTCTGCATTAGTGCACATTCTTCTAAAAGTTGGGCTTTTAATCTCCTAAGGACTGAAATTCTGGTCTTCCTGTCCCAGTGTCTACTCCTTCTGCGTGACTTGCTACTCACACAGAAGCCGTGAGAGAACGGGGCTGATATCATGGCCCTGATTTGCTGCTGGGCTCCACTGCAGTCTCACCAAATCTAAACTTTAGTATCGTCACATCCCCAGGTGACGGGACACCCACTGCGGCTCCACAGGGCCCTGGGTGCTGCTGAGTCCCTGAACACTGGGCAAGGATTCCAGTGGCAGAAGCTCTGCAGGGAGCAAGGCCCCTGTCCCCTCAGTGCTGGTGTTCAGCCTTTGCGTAGACTGGAGTGGCCTCACGAGAGGAAGGGGCATTGATCAGAGATGGCTGCAGGATGGCTGTGCTATGAATCACTCCCCTTCCAGGCCTAGAAAGGACTTGGCCAAAGGGATGTACGTTGGTTGTTTGTTTTCGGAAGATACAGGACCCAAAGTGACTCAGGAACGGAGCCTGGTGGCCATGTGGGTGTGGGGGTGAGGGAGGTGTGCCCAGAGCCAGAAGGCCAGTCCCTTAGTGCTCGCGCTCTGCCCGGAGGCTCTGAGGTCTGTCTGGTGCCAGACACCTGCTGGGCAGGACGAAGGGAGGGACCTGGCTGTGTGGCTGCTTTGTGGAAGTCTATGGGTTCTTGCTTCTGCGGCGGGGCAGCCTCCTGTGCTGAAGTGACGGACTCCAAGCACGGTGGGGTCGGTCCACAGCCGTGGACGCCTGGTGGTGCACGTCATGCTGTGGCAGGGGCCACCACCATCCTCAGCCCACGGTGCTCTTACAATACTCACAGGCTGACTTTCCATTACTTGCATGAAAAACAGACAGCCTTTGGTACTGAAGTTCGAAGCCATGGGTCCTGGCTGCTTCTTAACGTGACACTGGTGGGCCTTCACCGGAAACACCTGCCCGCCCAGCTCCATTCTCACGAACACAAGCAGCAGTGCCCTCTGCCCAAATACAGAGGTGCCTGAAGTCCTCCTCAGCTCCCTGCCTACTCCATAGCTTCAAGCAGCCCCCTGTGGGCTGAGGACCCCTCCACCTCTGGGCTTACCATGGCAACAAGGCAGTGCTCTGGGGAGACACACAGCACATGACCATGGGGGCCAGGCGGTGGGGGCAGGGCAGGGCTCCCCTGCACACAGGTAGCACTGCGGGACTGGGAGGGCTCCTGTCTGCCCCAGGCAGGTTCTCAGTAGCGTTCACTTCTTCCTTCCCTGCAGCAGCTGCTGCTGGGCAGTGAGGGCTCAGCATAGCCTCAGGGACAGCAGGAGACAGTGAGATCTGACTACTGAACTGCTCTGTCTTAGCTTCTTCACCAGTGAAATTCAAGTAAGACTAGTACTTCATTCCCAGGGCCCTCTTCAGTAAATAAAATCATACACAGGGGATAAAAGGACACTTGGCACAGAGGAAACACACAGTGATAGCTATGTTAATTATCATTATTAAACAATCTATTGTTAATAAATACATAATTATCAATAAGCAAAATTATTCTTTTTAACTGGCATTATAGTTTCAGGATAGTTGTAGGTCCACCGCAGTACTCCGAGAAGGTGCAGCAATCCCCTGCACGTGCTCTGCCCTCCCTGCGTGGTCCCCTGTGTCATCTGCACCCCTCAGTGGGTCACTCCTGCACCTGACGACTGGATGCTGATGCGTCACGGCCACCTGAAGTCTGCGGCTCACGTTAGGGTTCATTCTAGGTACTGCAGATTCTGTGGGCTTGTGCAAATGTATAACAACCGGCATCTCACATGGCGGTTTCTTCTGGACAATTGTCCCTGCCATGATGGCCTCCGTCTTCCCTTTTGCTCAGCCCCTATCTGCCAACCCTGACAACCACTCATCATTTTATTGTGTCGTGGCCTCACCTTTCCCAGATGTCACGTACGTGGACTCTACGGTGTACAGCCTTTTCAGATCGACTTCTTTCACTTAGAAATATGCACTTAAAGTTCCTCCATGTCTTTCCGTGGCCTGATAACTTCTCTTAGTGCCAATGTTTGGTGCTGAGTGATAGTCTGTGGCCTGGATTGCCGTGGTTTATCCATTCTCCTGCTGAAGGACATCTCGGCTGCTTCCCAGTTGCAAGCTGCTATAAACATTATGTGCAGTTTTTTGTGCACAAAGGCCTACTTTCTACGACATTAGATGTGACGGATGTGGGATTTACCCTGTCATGTCACAGTGTGTCAGGACTGAAGCCTTCCTCCTGGGTCCTGTATAGATTTCTGTGCCCATCTGGCAGCAAGGAGATGTTTGAGGATGTCCAGCTGTTGGTCTGACATTCGCATTACACATCTGCCAGTTCTTTGTATTTATTTGTGCTCTTAGGTCAGTAAATCTAAATGCTCAGGCACAGCTTGTCTTTAAATCTGTAGTGAGGCTGTTCTTACTTTGCACCAGAGCTTTGATAAAACTCAAAGCCTCCAAGAAAAAGTATGTTGTTAAGTGACGAGCACACACTTATGTGAAAGGGTTAGACAAGATTTTGTAATGCATGAAGCAATATGTTGTTGGAAAGGTAATAAAAATGGCCAAATATATAAAGTAGACAATGCTGAATGAAGTGAATTTAAATTCAGGAAAAAGACAAAACTACTTAGAGCGTGAATGTCTTTGTCAGAAGTGTATGATGAAGCGGGCACATTACCCTAGTATACACAGGCCGCATAAATGTGTAGTGTGACTATAAACATCTGATTTTGACCAACTTATTTTCAATGACTCATTGGGAGATGAGGCTATAGTTTAAAAAATATGCAAGCAATGCTAAGTAAGTAGAGTAGAAGTAAATGCCGAAAAATTATCTAGAGAATAATGGAAAATGTATTACAATTTTAAGTTTTATTAAGCTTTAATTAAGTTTAATTAAGTTTAATTATATATTTAAGAATAATAGGACAACTTTGTTACTTGAAACCAAGAGTCCTAGAAAATACGTAAAATGTCATTAAAAAGCTGCAATTTTGAGAGATTGTTCATACAACGAACCACAATTTCCAAGAGAAAAACTGGGGGTGAGGACTTTCGTTTTCTGCCTATTTCCCTTTTGAGCTACTTGCGTTAAGTGTTTGGTTACTGATTGGAGTGAATGACATTGGATCACCTGCCTGCTCTGGAGCCTGCTGTTCCTCCCGGGGAAATGGCAGTGATTCTTTCTACTCATGTTGGACAGGATGGGTTCTCAACAGCTTTCTCTTTCCTCTGTTTTGTGATAGTGGGCAGGTCTCTCCTCTTTTGGGCTTCTCTCTGCCCTGTCTTCTGACTGCCATCTTTCCACTGTGCGTGTGCCCTACTCTCTACATTGCTGGTTCAAGGCAAAATTTCATCTTT